ATATTAAGACTTTCCAAAGACATAGCCAGCCCTATCTGTTGTCCGACCTGCATAAATGTGCGAACGTTGAAGACAGCCAGTTTGTGTGGTATACGTGGTTTCAGAAAATCTACTTCAGTATTTGTATTTGATGGTAACATACAATTTTCAACTGGGAAGTGACTCAAGAACGTTTAGATAGAACCGAGTTTCCACCATAGGCAAGCTGCTGTATAAGTCGGAAAATAAGGATACATAAAGTGGGAATAAAAGAGAATGAATAAATGACATAAAAAATAATAGTAATAAAAATAATCGTAATAATAATAATAATGTGAATCGTTTGATTGTTGATCGAAGCGAGATAAGTATTTTCCATAAATATCGACATCTCATCATTTTTTGTGATGATGCTGTCCGGGTGCTCAGACCGAAGCAGGTGGTTTTCTTAGGGGGCCACCCCGAGCGTCTGTCCCACAAGGCAGTAGAGCATCATGAGGAGATGCAGTCCGATGGTAGCCGGTGACCAACGATTGGTTCATACGCCATTTGTTCCCTCAGAATCCTGGAGCACATGTGCACCATTGGTACAAATGTTATCTTTATCTTGCCGATCCTTACCTTTATGTCTGCATCACATCCTCCTTGTTTATCGATGATACTACCCGGATACGTGAAATTTCTCATCTATTCCAATGTCTCTCTATCAAATGTGATCGGGTTATAGCCAAATATATTTAGTATTTCTGAATGAAAGAAATCAATTGTTTACTGTTTTAATTGAGTCATTCAGTTTCAAGTTAATTTAACGAATCATTATGAATTTGAGTGTCTATGACGAAAAGAATTTGTACAGATGAAAATAAGGAGAAATTTGAGTAATAATTTGCATTTAGTTATTATATATAAACTTATGTATGTCAATTCATATCCAAAATCTACATTAGTTATAACCTAGGATACTGTCAATGAATCCCATATTAGAAGTTGTTAGCTATCCATTGTGTTATATCTTAGTGAAGATTAAATTACGAGTAACTTCTGAAACCTATTAATGTACTAATACTATCTATATATTATTATGGTATAACTATTCAATAATTAGATTATGTACATTTATATTTCCCTTATTATAAGCTTCATTTTGACCTATAGACTATTATGGTACGATTTAATGTTCTTAAGTTATACTCAGTTTATTGATTACAATCTCCCACGTTCACAGCCACTTTTCGGCTTGATCTTGTATAAATGTTATTTCCTATTTTATGGTGCAGTGCTGTCTGTTATAGAAACCAAATATGTCTGAAATAAATGATTCGCATAGTGGAAGCTGTTATTGGTGTTCTGGACTCAACTGGACGAGCTAAGTGAACAAAGGATCAATAAGGACACTAGGCTGCTAATACCAGTCGAACGTCGTTGGTTCGGTACAGTGCTAAGATTGTATATGTCATACTTCGATTGGTGAATGAATCACGTGATAATCAGCCAGGCTTAAAGTCACAACTGTTTCATGGTTTCCAATTCCTTCTTCTTAAAAGTTAATCATCAGTTTGAAACTTTAAATTCAATAGAAAGTATCAAACCATATAACAAAAATCTTGTGTCTCTTAGAAACAAATTGACAGATAATTCTCGGTGTGTTTTTTAGAGAGATGCAAATCAATGTTAAACCATTTTCATTAATCGAATTAGATAATGGTTGGGTAATATTATGAATTAATTGAAGATAGAAATGTAAACTATTGACTGTAAACTCTATGGTTCGAAAGTTAATCATTCATCAGGAAGGCCTTAATGCTAGATTTGATCTCTAGTAGGATAATGGATGCATACTATGATTTTTATTATTCTGATAAATGAAAAATTTCGTAGATCAGTTGAAGTTGAACAATAACACCGTTGGATGCCGGCAGACTCTGTGGTCTTGAGATCAAACGATCACGCGAGAGACCGATAAATCCTGAGTTCGAATCTCGCTAGGCGAGATCGTCGATGCGCACTGATGAGGAGTCCTACAGTAGAACGAAGCAGCCGTCCAGTGCTTCCACGTTTTCGATGGTGGTTTAACATCAACTGATATATATATAACAAAGAAATATATATTTGATTAGAATCAGAAGGGGTTTTGTGGATATTATAGTAATTTGAGTGGTTGAGATCATGAGTCAATCGAAGCTAGATCAACATAGAAAACCTGGAAACACTGGACGGGCATTTCGTCCTTTGCGCACTGCTGAGGAGTTCCGCAATAGGACGAAACAGCCTGTTCAGTGTTTCCAAGTTTTCCATATTGGTCTAGCTCATGATCTCAACTATTGAAATGAAAAATTCTTCAATGTTTTTAATTCTTTTAACAAATATTTCCTAACTGAAATAACAATCAAAGATACTCTGTTTTTTATAAAGCTTGATATCTATTACATAATATATTATTTATATTTACTTTTGGATAACTAATATCCAACTGGCTTTAAAAAAATGTGTGTGTGATCATTTTGTTACCATATGTTACCATATGTTCATTCTTTGTATCGATTTTTTTTAAAAACAAAAACATGATTGTCATCAGTCGAGATTATCATACATCAGTACAGTTGTGGTGTGTGTTACTGATATCGACAGATATAAGTTCTATGTATCATCAATCAGAAGTGATATACCTGGCAGTGGAAGATTAAGAGACAATCGAAAAGAAGAGAACAAGAACATAGAATGATTATTGTAAATGTGAAGAAACAATGAAGTCTGAGACAATTGATTAATATTTTCCAAATGGTTCTCAGATTTAACTAAGATATTCTGTAATGTTTGGTTGTCCCCACTTGTATTCTCATTTGCTACAATGATAATCAAATCTTTGTATTATATAACTAATAAAGCAGTTAAAGAAGAACAAGCTATAATCTAAGCTGCACATTTCAATTACATGTAAATGTTGATTGGATATTAGTAAATGAAGTATCTGAGAGAAATCTTGTTTCTTTTGTTAATGACAATGAGTTAATAAAAGAAAATCAAGATAATTTGATGTAACATAAAAGTGACACTATGATCGTAATTAAATGAATCACTTTGGATTCATTGAAGAATCATACAACATACTGTGATATGTGTATATAAAGGGGAAATAAATTGTAGAAATAGATGCCTTAGCAACAAAGTTGTATATCAAAAAGGGGGGTTTTATGAATATTGTAGTAATTTAATAGTTGAAATCATGAGTCGATTGAATCTAGACCATCATGGTCTCAGCTATTAAAGTACTATAATATCCATAACAACCCTTTTCTGAGATTAATCAGCATATGCTCACTAGTGACTGGCTTCAAGAGGTATTTTCTGTAGTTTTAGTGAGAAGCCGTGACCAGTGGAGTTCAACCGGATCTGTTTTGAGATAGTAACTCACTGAAGATAGTGGTGGATGTATGGCTCAATTTCGTGGATTAGTTGAAGTTATACATTAACATCATTGGATAATGGCAGGTTCAGAGATCTACATGTTAAGCGTTCGCGCGCGAAACTGATGGGTTCTGATTTCGAATCTCACGAGACGAGATCGTGGATGCGCACAATATGACAAAACGGTTGTCCAGTGCATTCAGGATTCTCATGGTTTTCTACCTTCAATTGATTCATGATCTTATCTATTAAGGAATCGTATGTGTAAATTGATTTGATATTGCTTACTTAAATCTTCCCATTGATGATTTGGACTGTTAGTGATCAGTCTCTTATTAACATATGTATATATTGTGCGTATGGCCTTTTATTCACAAGCATTATAAGCGAAGATGGATAGTGACTAGCAGTAGAATCTAGCAGGTGCGTTTTGTTCGTTTGTACAACGAAAAGAGGATGAAAGAGATAAGGATTAATGTTTTGTAGTCATGAAAATTATAGACTATCATTTTTTTTAAAAAAATTACTGCATAAGAACAATATCTTAATTTAGATGTAACAACTTGATTTATTCTTGTTATATGTAAAGAAAATGAGACATTTCCGTTTATTATTGGACTATTCAAATACTTTTAACGAGAATTTTTCGAAATAATTAGTAAAGTATTTTGATGCACTAGAAATCACTTTACGCGTTAATGGTTGAGTAGTGGACATTAACTCGCCCTGAAAGAGTGCTAATGATTATGTGTATTGCATGAAGTGCATAGACGAAAGTCTTTTCACTGATGGTATATATGTAATGCGTAAGTTGTAGTAAATACGTTTGATGACAGCGGTGACCATTTACCCTCCGAGATGAGTGAAGATACCTATATGTATACTATAGGGGGTTCGAGTGACAATTTATGCATTACAGGTATATATGTTACTTATATTCTCTCATAGGGTGAGTATACCTATGTGTATGTCAAGGAATACATGATTACGACACCTATGCACCATGACGCTGGAGTTCAAACAATATCCCTATTAAATCACATCCACGAAATGAACTTGTGAGCTTCTGAAAGTGGATTCTAATCCAAATAGAACAATGGGCTTTATCAAATATGACGTTAACAACTTCAAATGATCAGAACACCTCATTGAATTACATCGTTCATGTAGTATACTAGTACTTCAGGGAAATAAGTCAAAAAAAAAGAACCACCTATTATCTTTAAATGTTTATTTTGCAGTTTTTAATCATAATACAATGATAAATGTATCTCTATATGAATTAAATGATAACATGATGTAATTAATCTATTTATTGTTTTTAATAATACGGTCTATATTGGATTCAAATATGATCGGTTATTCATTAGATAGATGATCAATTTATTTACCAAGTCTTTGTGATATATAATATTTTCTTTTCATAAGACGTCGAACTAATGAATCACGTAGATTTGGATAATAATATTGATCAAGTTCATCATGTGTATATGGTAACTCCAAAGGCATAAATGGGTATCGATCCATTTCATTTTCAGGTGCTGCCACAGCACATTTCACTTTGACCAATGAAAATACAATAGATAATATTGACAAGATTAAAATTGATTTAAGCATTATTGGTGAATCTAAATGAAAATAAAAAAAAGAGAAAAGAAAAGAATGTTCAGTATGATAAAAGGTTTTAAGTATTAACGGATAATATAATAATAAGATTATCTTAGTTACTTACTTACGCCTGTTACTCCTCGTGAAGGAGCATAGGCCACTCACCGGCATTCGCTATCCAACCCTGTTCTGGGCAATCTTTTCCAGCTTCTTCGAGTTGTTATTCATTCATTTCATATCTGCTTCTATTTCTCGACGTAGTGTGTCCTTTGGCCTTCCACTTCTCCACTTCTCTTCAGGATTCCAAGTTAGGGCTTGCCTTGTGATACAGTTTGATGATATCTGTAATGTATGTTCTATCCATTTCTATCGTCTTTTCCTAATTTCTTTTTCAGCTGGAAGCCGGTTTGTTCTCTCCCACAAAAGGCTGTTGCTGATGGTATCCGGCCAATGGATGTTGAGTATTTTGCATAGACAGCTATTTATAAATACTTGTACTTTCTTGATTGTGGTTATTGTAGTTCTCGAAGTTTCAGCTCCATACAGTAGAACTGTCTCGACGTTGGTATTGAAGATTTTGACTTTGACATTGGTTGACAGTTATTTTGAGTTTCATATGTTCTTCATTTGTAGGAATGCTGTCCTTGATTTGCCAATCCTCACCTTTACGTCTGCATCTGATCTTCCTTGTTTATCGATGATGCTTCCCAGGTACATGAAAGATTCCATATCTTCCAGAGTTTCGCCATCAAGTGTGATTAGGTTGGTGATTTCCAACAACAAGATGAAATTTCCTTGAATGAAATGAGTCAATTCATTTTGAATAAGTTGAAGTATATGGTTGACGACTCCTGAAATACCGTCTAAATTAACTAAAACATTTTAAGACAGTTTACTGAACCAATTGATATCATTGAAGAAACCAATGAAAATAATAAAACAATAAGCAATTTATTCATCTCAGTTCAAAACAGTTATTTGCAAGGTTGTTTTCTACCAACGGTTCTATTGTACGGAGCTGAAACTTGGAGAACTACCAGAATCATCATTAAAAGTGTGCAGTTATTTATAAACAATAGTCTACGTAAGATACTCAATATCCGTTGGTCAGATATCATCAGCAGCACCCTACTGTGGTAGAGAACAAACCAGCTTCCAGCTGAGGAGGAAATTAGGAAAAGATGGTGAAGGTGGATAGGACACACATTGAGAAAATCATCAAACTGCATCACAGAACAAACCCTAAATTTTAATCTTGAAAGGAACCGGAGAAAAGAAATATCAAGGAACACATTAACTTGAGACTTAGAAGCAGACATGAAAAAGATGAATAGCAACTGGAAAGAACTGGAAAGGGTTGCTCAGGACAGAGTTGGATGAAGAGTGCTGGTGAGTGGCCTATGCTCCTTCATGAGGGTAACAGGCGTAAGTATGTAAGTAAGCAAGTAAGTGAGTAGGTAAGTTAAGTAGATGGAAATAGAAAGATATAGTAATGATAAACAGTAAGCTTGTCAATATTGTCCTCTCAGTAATATAAACATATTTTATCTAGATTATGTCATCAATATAAAAAGACTTTTTGCGATAACAATACGACCTCTGTGAAAAAAAATCCATTTTAAGTATAAATAAAAATACATCTGTTGATATCCCAAATGAGTAGTAAAATTAGATTTTCTGACGTTTCGTCACTTAGTGTAAACCACTTCTTCAGAGAATAAATCAATAACCAAATCATGATTAATCCAAGTTTAAATTGTACAACGGAACACCTCAAGAATATTAGGTGTGATTAATTAAAAACAGGTCGGACAAAGTCAATGTCATGTCATTCTAGTTAAAGTGATTTATCAGCGACGAGTATATAAATTTGTGTGTGTGTGTATTCAGGGTCAGGGATGAAAAATGTAACCTTTGTGGTGAGGATGGATAGAGTTTAATTTGTATGTACGATAATAATGTAAAATGTGAATATTATGAGATATGGTAGCTTGGATAGATAATCCAAATCAGATGGAAATTGAGTGTTTTTGATTGATCGCACCTAATGTTCTTGCTTTGTTCCTTTTGTACTATTTAAACTTGCATTAATTTTGTTTTTGTTATTTACTTATTCTCTGAAGAAGTGACTCATACTGAGTGACGAAACGTTAGAAAATCTAATTTTGATACTCATTTGAGATATCTACAAATATATTATTTTTGTTAATAATAGACTACCAATGAAAATCTGAAAGCACTGGATGGCCGTTTCTTCCTATGTAGGACTCCGCAGCAGTACGCATAGGACGAAATGACCATTCAGGGTTTCCAGATTTTCCATGTTGGTCTAACTTAAATTGACTCATGATCTCAACCATTAAAATTACTATAATATCCATAAACCCCCTTCTGATACTAATCAAATATATATATATATATATTTCTTTGTTATATATATATATCCTAAATGAGTAGAAGAAAAGTTATATTTCTAATGACATTTCGTGACTTAATATAAGTCACTTCTTCAGAATAAATAAATAAATAACACATTATTTCCTTTATATTATTTAAACTTGTGTTAATTTAACTTCATTTATTTATTTATTCTGAAGAAGTGGCCTAAATTAAGTCACGAAACGTCGTTAGAAATACATTTTCTCTATTTATTTGGAATATAACTATCCACTTAATACTAAGTTTATTTAAAAGTAACAAGTTCAACTTTAGCATTGATACCCTATGAAATGAACTAATTTCTTTGACCATAAATCCACTTTTTTGTTGTTGTTGAAATCTTACTCTCATGACATATGATTATGATTGTTGAAATATTGAGGAAATCAGGTTAAAGTATAAATCATTTATGATCGATTAGATATTTATTAATTTCTTTTTCTATAGGACAATGATGGACGGTGACTCAATTTCGTGGATTGGTTGAAGCTAGATATTAACAACGTTGGATGGTGGCAGACTCAGTGGTTGATCGTTCGTGCGCGAGATCGATAGGTCTTGGGTTCGGACCTCGAGAGGTGGAATTATGGATGCTCACTGCTGAGGAGTATCATTGTAGGACAAAACGACCGTCCACTGCTTCTAGGTTTTGAGATGGTGGAGAAGATTTGTACCTCAGATGGATGATTTTGATAAGGTTTTGTTCTCTGAGCTGGATGGTTTGATCGTAACTTTCATCGTTCATCTGAACAACATCATCAAACCAATGGGAGACACAATCAAAACAAAGAAGTAAACAATGATAGTCTTAAGGTCAACAAGAACCAATCATTATCGTGATGTACAGGACAAGCTGTGAACCACATATGGAAAAATTCGAACACTTCACTTCTACCTGAAGTTTTTGCTGATGATGTTGCTCAGAAGAACGATCAAAGCTCAACGACCAAACCATTCAGCTCAGAAAACAAAACTCCATCACAAAGCTTCTAGGTTTTCCATGTCGGTCTAGCTTTAATTGACTCATTAATTCAATTATTTAATTACATATATTACTCTTTCATTTGAAATTAAGTGGTTATATTAAGGTTTGATAGATTGTTTTGTAGTTGTCAAAACTTAACAGTGTGCATTCACAATCCCGCACTCAGGACCTTTGATCTCACGCGCTAGAGCTTAACCCCTAAACCACTGAACCAGCATCCAACGGTGTTAATGTTTAACATCGACCAATCAACAATATTGCGCAACCGTCCATCATTATCTTCAGTGAGTAACTACTTCACAATAGATACGGTTAGACTTCATTGGTCACTGCTTAAATTCCTACAATTTCCACAAACCCCTATTCTGAAAATAATTTATTTACTTATAAAACAAAAAACAAAGAAGTATTCTTGAAACTATAGTGAGAAGTTGTAATCTGTGATATTCAGCAATGTTGGCCGTGAGGCAAATACATTTGAAGTTAACGGATTCCGCCTATTCAATATTATAGCTTCGCGATTATCTGCTTGGTGAATGTAATTCCTATAAAATGTTAATCTTATACGTAATAAATTGACCACGATACATTAGATCTGCGATATAAGAGTCAATTAATCACAATGAGGTGTTTCGATCTGGTCACGATTGATTGATCACTGGGTGGTTATCAATGTCATGTATGTCAAGTCCTTATTTAGTGCAGATCGAATGCTACCGATTATGTTGCAATATGGCCACCAATCTAGGTGACTCGATACTGCGTGCACTATATATTGAGATTAGATTATGGTTGGAGGTAGTCGATAGGAAACCCTGGACGCGGGTTTCGTGCCGCTCGTCAGCAAGGTTTACCTGTAATCTTCAGGGAACTGGTGCTCCCTGTCAGATGCGATCTGGTTTATATTTGGAGAAAAACTGTCCTCCTATAAGCTATGAGCAAATATTATAAATAAATATTTATTCAGTCATAATGCTTGCTTCATGATAGTTTCGTAAACTCATAATTAAGCTTAACTAAAATAATTATTGAATTCCGGCTGTTGCTGTTCAGGGATTACTTCCAGTCCCAAGTCCGTGTAAAAAAGGAGGGTTAGGTATGGGGTCGGCAACTTCATCCCTTAAAAAACGACCTTGCTAAAAATGATCACTAACCAGAATAAACAATTTCAACCATTTAAATTCCGCCTTGGGATTTGAAGGAAGATTTATGACACCTCATCATAAAAACCAAGATTGGGGATTGGAAACGGACATGAAAATGATCAATAGCAACATGAATAAACTGAAAAGGATTATCCTGGATGGAGTTGAATGGAGAATGCTGGTGAAAAGTCTATGCTCCTCCATGAAGAGTAATAGGCGTAAGTAAGTAAGTAAGACAATTATTGACCATCGACTTACCCACAAATTTTTTTTCAGAATTCTGTGGCGTTATTTCGAATACTCTACACGTAATGATAAAAGATATGGATTACTGCCAGACTAAAATTCAATCTTCATAGCTTATACACAAATTTTATATTTTGTCAAAATTATAGATTTATTCAATAGCTATTTGAATGGAATGATTTGTGATTAAGTAGAATCAAACAGTTAACATAAAATGGAGATGGTAATGTGAATGAATTAGCAAATTGGTTGAGATTAGACATTAAAACCGTTGGATGCTGACAGACTCAGTGGTTTATATGTTAAACATTCGCGCTCAAAACCGAAGGCCCTTGGTTCGAATCCTGCGAACGGAATCGTGGATACACACTGCTAAAGAGACCTATAATAGGATGAAATAGTCTATCAAATGCTTCCAGATTTTCAATGGTGGTCTAACATCAATCGACTCATGATCTCAATTCAATATTTATTATCCTATAGAACTAAAGTAAAGGTAATTGATCGAATCCTGGTACACCATGAAAGTATAGTTCTTTAATAGTCGATAATGATTAGAATAGCCTAATAGTCATAATAATCTTCTTAATTCCATAACTATATGATACAGATATAATCCATTGAAGAATTGTGAATTGCATATACTACTTATACAGATTATCATCATATTAGTTCAATATCAGGTCATTGTTATTGTTAATCTAAGAAGTATATGTATACAAAGCATTAAAACAACAAAACTAGGCTATCTAAAACATATTGAGTTAGTTATAACAGTTTAAATCACTTAACGATACAATAATACAAATATGGATTTCTTTCTATGAATGAATTAAACTAAGCGTTTGGTATAAGATAAAAGAAAACAAACAAACAAACAAAAGATACCATCATTTATGGATTCAAATTTTTTGGTGAACTCATTGTCTTTTTGAAGTTATTCCATGTTTATAAAAGAACCGCCTACATTTAGGTGTTATAGACCGTATGAAGATAGGTACATCTCAGTGGCTTCCTTAATATGAACTTGATGATATTGTCTTTCATTGCGAATAATTAGTAAGTTCGATTATAAAGTTTGATCATAACTGTTTAGAGATTCTTGTGAGACGATTAGAAGTGTCAATGGTTATTAGGTTCATAGTACTTCTAAAGTATGTAGATGTCAAGGATTCTGTAATCGAATGGGATAATATCCATATATGTATAAGATCTTTTTCTGCATCATACATTATAGAATGTAATGTAAAATTCCGTAGTTATCTTGTAGTGAACGAGAACAAAGGCAGGGATAACTAAATGTATTTTAATACAACGTTACAGAATATCTTAGTAAAATATGAGAACCATACAGTAAACACTTCATTTGCAATATATCCATCAATTGTCAAAAACCATGTTGTTCCTTCGCATTCATACCAGTCACTCACTGTTTTCCTTCTCTTCTCTTCTCTTCTCTTCGATTTTCTTAACCTTCTGCCATTAGGCATCTCACTTTCAATTGATCATATATACTACTTATTTCTGTCAATATCAGTAGCACACACCACAACGATTCATCTTTTTGTATCTTAGCTCATCTCAATGATGTATTCTATCAATAATAGGTGATAATATCAGTGAACTTTGAATTTTTACTCCTATTTGAGGATATACTCTTATCTTAGCTTTCTTTTTGTTTATACCAAAATGACTTATTAACTAAGAACTAATGACATATATCCCAGAGATAAAACGTTAATTTCAGTGTTTTAATATTTTTTTGTTTGTTTTTATGGTAGACAAACAAACATTTCAGTTTGACATTCCCATATTGTAAATATAGAACAATATAGATATAAGTGAGCAATATTGTTTTTGATTAGATCCTCATTAGGCTTTACTCTAATATACAGTGATATTTATATGTATATATGAAATTAATTAAACCAATGAAGGTAGTTTATGAGTTAGTGATAACAGTGGAATAGATTAGATAACTAAAGATAATAGGTGTAAAGTACAAATGGATAATGTGATGACAGGTGTACTAGATATATTCGACTTAGTATCTTACACATAGCAGAAGCTATAGGAATTTGAGTCAACAATCCAAGTCTTTGTGTTTACAAGGCATTTGTAACACCTTTATTTCTCTAATGGCCTTAATGAATGACCTTAGTTACTGTTATTTTCCATACTCTTTCTTCGTTTTATTTTTCTTCACCCCTTCCCACTTTTTACTTTTCTCAAATATACACTTTATGGTCCAATTATCCGAACACCACTTATAACGTAATCTTATAGTGATTTTGATGAATGCTATTTCTGTGTTTGTATTTTTTCCCATTATGTAAGATTGGTTCATTCCTTTATTATTCTTATCACATCTAGTACACCTATCATTGCACTACAAACTTTTACTTTTCACTTCTTTAGTTATGTAATCGTTTTCATTGTTATCATTGACTCATAAACTGCATTGAATGATTTAATAATTTGGTATATACGTATGAATATTAATGTGGATTAGAGTAAAGCCTAACGAAGATCTAATCAAAACAAGTAAACATAAATCAATAGTTGAGATCACGAGTCAATAGAAGCTAAATCACTATGGAAAACTTGGAAGCACTAAACGGCTGTTTTGTCCTATTTAGTCAATGTTCACATAATTTCTTTCAAAGATTCAAAGAAAAGAACAACATATTGTTTGATTATGATAAGATATATTTGAAGGTGGGACTATAATTTATGGATGATATTTGAGCGACAGCAGACTCATCTTGAGAGTGTTCACCTAATATCTAGGACTAAATGAGGGTTATAAACCTGTGTGAAGACTTTGAATTATGATTTATAGTTGATGGTTAAAGTTAGGAATTAGATTTAGGATTTTTCATCACGAACTAAAATCAGCTATAATGACAAGACTCTATTTACCCAAATGAATGAGTGGATTTCACGATAAAATCCGAGACCTGTTATCGTAAATCTGAATGGTTCATTCATAGTCTCGCCGATTTGAAATAAAACTTTAATACATTTACTCATTACACGAAAAAAGCCGATGGGGTAATGAATTCATGGTGATGGTGCCTAATCTTAAATCAAACAATATTTAGTATAAGGGACTTATAAATAATGGCTTAAAATATTTTTCTAAATGAATTATTCTAGTAACTAGTTATTTTATGGTAATGTATTGTGTACTACTGATGTCGACAATTATAAGTAGTATGTATCATCAATCGAAAGTGAAATGCCTTATGGCAGAAGGTTAAGAAGATCGAATAGAAGAGAAGAGAACGAAAACAATGAGTGATTGGTATAGAGATGAAGAAATAACATGTTCTGTGATAATTAATAGATATTTTGAAAATGGTTCTCAGATTTGATCAAGATATTCTGTAATGTTACGGATTCCCTATTCCTGCTCTTGTTCACAACAGTATTTTTACCTTTCAAACATGAAAATATCATTTAGATGATAGTTTGAAATGACCAAATTAATGATCATTGTTTTTTCAACGTTAGTTATAAGTGTTGATTGCCATTTATGAACTGAAAATGATCTCATGGTTAATAACGTGAAGACTATGATCTAACTTGTAATTTGATTTATTGAAGCTTCAGTTAAAACAACTGATCATATTCTACTGTTTCATTAATGAATAAAACCCAAAAAAAACACTCAAATATCTTGATAGTAAGTCTATGACTATTATACAAATTAATGTCACCCAATGAATCCGTTGGCCAGACACTACCAGTAACAACCTACTATGGGAAAGAACAAACCAAATCCCAGAGGAAGAGGAAATCAGGAAAAAGCGCTGGAATTGGACAGGGCACACATTGAAGAAAGCATCCAACTGTGTCACAAGACAATCCTTCACTTAGAATCCTCAAAGCAAAAGGAGAAGAAGAAAATCAAAGAGCACACTACACCGAGGAATGGAGACAGACATAAGAAGAATGAACTAGAAAGTAAGGTGCAGGATAGAGTGGGTTGGAGAATGTTGATCAGCGGTCTATGCTCCATTGGGAATAACAGATGTAAATAAGTGAGTAATTGGATATATATATATATATATATATATATATATATATATATATATATATATATATATATATATATATATATATAATAGAATTGGAATCAAACAATGTTGCCTACTCTCTCTCTCTCCCTACTTTCTCTTTCTTCTACTTACTGGTTAATTGAATTATGGAAGCTTCCACAATTAAAAAGGAAACACAGTATACAATTATATGGTAACAACTACATAATGAATTCAATTCTATTCATAATTTATATTCGATTTTATTAAGAATAATACATAAGTCATATATTACTATAATAATAATAATAGTAGTAGTAATGTATATTATTAATAATTAATAACTTACATTTGATATTAGTTGATTAGTTGAATACACAATTAGTATACTAAATAGTGATGTATATTTCTATTACTAATGTAACTGTTATAAGTAGCTAATTTAATATTCTCTTAATAAAATATAATTTTCATAGGAGAATAATTCAAATGATTATTTATATAGATTTATGATTATTTTTTTCCCCAAAATTTGATTGGTCAATTTTAACAAACCATTATAAAGGAATGAAGGAATAGATGAAGGAATGAATGAAGCAATGAATGAGGGAATGAAGGAATAAGGCAATGAACGAAAGGATGAAGGAATGAATAAAGCAATGAATGAAGCAATGAATGAAGGTATGAATGAAGAAATGAATGGAGGAATAAATGAAGGAATGAATGAAGAAATGAATGAAGGTATGAAGGAATAAGGCAATGAACGAAGGTATAAATGAATGAACGAAGGAATGAAGGATTGAACGAATGAATGAAGCAATCAATTCTGGAAAGCATTAGAATACAGTCGGACATATATAAATCTATATAGAACTTATGAATGAGACAGTTTAAGTGATGGATTGAACATGTTGAAATGTTGTAAATTATATGAAGTAATGATTTTATCCGCTAAGACTTGCTGAATAAAGAAAGTAATATTAAATACCATGTATTCTATTCATTATCTTGATTTATCAAAGTCATTTAATGGTATAGTTTTTTTATTATTATTTTTATTATTTTTATATTAGCTGTTCAGTGTATGGTGATTATTGTCATGTTTGTTTTATTATTGTAGAGTAGATCATTGGGATCACTGACTTGTTAACTATTAAAATCCTGTAGGTATATGAATATGCCAGTTCACTGAATATTTTATACTTTGTTGATGTTACAAAATCATGAATCATAAATATATAGTTGACTTTTGCCAACTTACGTAACCAATGACGAAGGTGAGATATCCGTCTATCAATTAAAGGACGAGTATACTACACGGTAGTTTGTTCTATCCTACTTTACAGCTGAGAAACGTGGCCATTAAGAGTAGAAGATACTCGTAAGTTATTAATACATGATTACAGATGTGTTAGAAATATTATTCGCATCTTTCGAGATCACTACCCAATCTCCCTACTTTGGGAAGCCGCTTTAGAAACTTTTGTGGAAATGGCACAAAAAACCCAAGACAGGAAGATTGAGCGGGTGAGTAATAGTAAGGTTAGACGTAGGGTATTAGGGAATGATGATAAATCAGTTCATGAGGTTGTGAGTCTTCATCGACTGAGATGGTTGGGCCACATGTTACGTATGCCTGAACACCGATTACCACGACGTGCAATGCTAACTGGTGTTGGATATGGTTGAAAGACAGTTAGTGGCGGCCAAACCAAAACGTGGCATCAGTGCTTGAAGACACTAACCTCTAGTCTGAGCCATGTTGATAGATGCAGACTACTTGGTTGGGATCCGCGTGACTTTCGTAACCAATGATTGGAGACTCTTGATGACATGGCTGAGAATCGATCACAATGGCGTCAGTGTATACACTCTCTGTCTTCCCTTAACCTAATAGATTAAAATCACTTCATATCTTTCTTTCTACGAACTAATTCTTTCTTCCTGTACTATGTCCTTATAAGCAATCATTCTTTTATATATTACCACCTCTGAATTAACTACTTTTATGAATCCGGTGTCCATCTTGTTGTGTTAATGAGGTATGGCAACTTGGACCGATGCATATATGTGCCTGATCCTACGTTGTAGTTGACTGACTGAGATCTGTTAATCAAGCCGTATTTTGGTTAGTAGTCCAACTGGTTCCAGATCCCATTCAGTATGCTTTAATGTTAAGTAGTTGAAGGCAGTTGAAAGCAAACCACGAGCCTAAATTAAGTAATGGTTGAAATTCATTATTAGTAAGGCGTAACTGTAATGCGAAAGAAAGTGACACTTCAAGTAGAATTCGGTTTAGCATTAAGCTGCTTTATAGACTAAACAACTATTCAGCAAACCATTGTGGTAAATACTTTTGTTTAAAAGAAGATCACTCAAGGCATGACTAGCTCACTGGTAGTATCGCAAACTATAAACCAACATAACTCAAATGCGAACCTCATAGGATGCATAAATCCTTTCAGGAATACAGATGTAACTTACTGACGAATGTCAATAAGCACGAAAATTTAGGTCAAAATCCTCCTGTTGATTTCCTTTAGTCCTCAACTACCTGTAATTACTTATTAATGAATAATTAATGAGTTTTATGTCTTATACTCCTTCCCCCCGAAAAATTAAGAGAATAGTCAATATGTTAGTGATTCAAAGGAAATGAAGAAGGTCAAAGTTAATAAGTTTTATCTGTATATTATTCATTACGTGATTAAATATACAAAATTTTTCTAATGTTTTCAAAACTGAATTTTATTTTCGCTTAGTGATTCATTCTTGTTACTGTGTTTAAAATCTATTTCAATAGTTGAGATCATAAGTCAAATGAAGCTAGACAACCATGAAAAACCTAGAAACACTGGACGGTTGTTTCGTTCTACTCTGGGACTCCGCAGCAATGCACATCTACGATCTAGCCTCACGAGATTCGTGAGATAGTAATCCACTGAAGACAATGGTGGATATGTGGCTCAATTTCGTGAATTAGTTGAAGTTAGACATTCACATCGTTGAATGCCGGTAGGCTCAGTTAATACATACTTACTACATTAGCCGGCACTAATCACCTTGTATGTAATTAATTATGTTGAAGTGATTTATTCACTGAATGTGCGTGCATCTTTATTTCTGTTGATTGTTGTAATTAGTTGACTTATGATAATGGCGATTTATCGATCATACTAGCCTAAATTGATAGATTCAATAGGTAATGTTAAGTAACAAATACAAATTCAAACTCTTTATTTGGTGTAAAATGCTTAGATTCGTTGGTATTGTGTCCTCTCAGGTGAATGGTACATTCGTAAAGCTTTCATTGTTCTTCTGGACAGCATTATTAATAGGTATTTCAGAGAGAAGTGATTCACAAAATGATGGCAAATAAGTATAGGTAGAAAATTCAGTAATACTAAATTACTACTTAAGTTCAGGATTTTCCACTTGGTATTATTTTGATTTTCTGATGAATAAAAAGTCTTCTATGTACGTATCTGGGAACCATCATCGGTGAACAAAGAGAATCCGATGCAGATGTAAAGGTAAGAACTGACAAAGCAAGAACAACATCCCTAGAGATGAAGAATATATGAAACTCAAGACAACTGTCAACCAATATCAAAGTCACAATCTTCAATACAAACGTTAGGACAATAAGTTCTACTGTACGAAGGTGAAAAGTGGGGAAATACTACAACCATCATCAAAAGTTTACAAGTATTTATAAACTGTTGTCTATGCAAGATACTAAATGTCCGTTGGTTGGATACCATCAGCAACAGCGTACTGTGGGAGAGAACAAACCAGTTTCCGACTGAAGAGCTAGTTAGGAAAAGACGATAGAGGTGCACAGGACACACATTGATAAAATCATCGAACTGCATCATAGAACAAACCCTAAATTGGAACGAAGAAGAGAAATACCTAGGAACACATTAACTTGGGAATTGCAAGCAGACACGGAGAGAATGAATTACAACTGGGACGAACTAGAAAAGATTGCTCAGGGCAGAGCTGGATCAAGAGTGCTGGTATGTGGCCTATGCTTCTCCATGAGGGGTAACAGGCGTAAGTAAGTAATAAACTCAACACAAATCATGTGTACCTGTTTGTAACTATTTGTTAATTGTTTAATTCACACAAAAAAAGGAAATATATTTTCTTAATGAAGAATTCAGAATATTTTAGAACTATGTGATATATACGAATATTCAAACCCCCCTTATGTATTCAAAAACAGTTTGTTCTCACCTTAAACCTACCCTGATGATTAGGTTTCAAACTGTTTTCACATTATTATTTTTTTTATCACCCCTGTTTCCTCTTACCCTCCAATTCCAGTCTAGTTCACTTTTCATTTTTATATATAAATGATCTTAACAACTATGTAATGCGTGGTCAGATTGCTCAAAATATATTGCGTTAATATATATCATCACATAGTTCTGATAATCTTCGTCTACTTCTTATTACACTATCGAAATATACACATGTGGTATATGCTACTTATGTCTGTTGACATAAGTAGTATATAACATCGATCGGAATATGGCAGTACAAGGCTTAAAAGATCAATTTGAAAAGGATAGAAAGAAGAATATAAACGAAGAATCATATAGAAAGTGAAAGAACATTTGATAGAAGATTTCTAAATAAAGTATTCAATGTATGATTCTTATATTTCACCAAGAAATTCTATAGTTTCATGTTTACATAATTTGGTTAATGTTCTTATTCATAATTGAAATTATTAAAATCTCCACAAAAGTCCTTCTGATAATAATCATCTGATCACTAGTGACTGGCTTCAAGTGGCATTTCTTGGAGTTCTAATGAGAAGCTATGACCAGTGGAGTTCAACCGGGTCTGTTGTGAGATAGTAACTCACTGATGACAATGGTGTACGGTGGCGCAACTTCGAAGATTGGTTGAAGTTAGACATTAACATCGTTGGATGCCGACTGGCTCAGTGGTCTAATGATTAAGCGCTCGCGCGGGAGACTGATAGGTCCTGGATTCGGATCTCGCGGGGGTCGGGATCGTGGATGCGCACTGCCAAGGAGGAGTCCCATACTAGGGCGAAGCAGCCATCCAGTGCTTCCAGGTTTTCCATGGTGATCTAGCTTGAAATGGCTCATAATTTCAACTATTAAAATTAGTAAAATTATCACAAAACACCTTCTGATACATACATATCTGTTTATTCACTTTCCACAATGTATATTATTATTATTTTCGTTATTCAATTGCACGCAATGTATTTTCTTCCAAACCGTAGTTGACTTCATGTAGTACATTGAAGCATATCAAACATGTGACTGAATAAAAGAAAAACACAAAAATAACATAGTCCACATATACCCTTACAAACAAACAAGCATGAGTAGACATGTTTACCTAGACAATAACGGATAAAAGAAGAAAAAAACAACAACAGAAACCTGTATGGACCATTTCAATTATGTGTACTCTCTAGATCGTTTTTTTTTGCATGAATGGTTCAACAATTTTCAATGATTATTTCATTTGATTTGTTTTATATTAACTAGCAAATAATGAAATTAATCTATTGGTGTCTTTTTATTGTTGGTTTACACTTAAATGATTATGAAAAAAGAAAATAAATGAAACATGTTATGTAATCAACAGTTCTTTCAAATGATGGCGTAAAAAAGGTTGTGCTTTCTTACTTTGTAGCACTTATAAACGTTGATGGGTATCGGTCGAGTGGTTGATTAGTCCGAACTCTACCATACAGTTTACTGCTAACGTTAGTTTATGGGATAAGTCCTACTATCCAGGAGGCACGACGAGGATATGTCAGTCGGGTTTTATCTCTGTCACGTAAAAGGTGAAATATACGTTTGAATTATTCCCCTTACATGTTTTATTTAATGATTATCTTTTATTGGAATGATTCCAGGTATTGGATTTACTTTTCGAATATTATTTCCATCACTACTTACTTACTCCTATTACTCTCAATGGAGCGTGGGCCGCTAACCAGCATACTCCAACACACTCTGTTTTAGACCTTCCTTTCTAGTGATATCCAATTCTTTTTCATTCTTCTTATGTCTGTCTCCATTTCTCAGTGTAATGTGTTCTTTAGTATTCCTCTTCTCATTTGGCTTTGAGGATTCTAAGTGATGGCTTGTCTTGTGACGCAGTTCAGTGCTTTTTTCAATGTGTGTCCTATCCACTTCGAGTGCCTGTTTCGGATTTCTTCCTCCTCTGGGATCTGGTTTGTTCTTTCCCATAGTAGTTTGTTGCTGATAATATCTGGCCGACGGGTCTGAATTATTTTGTTCCCATCATATTTTACTATGATCGGTATTGTAGTGAACGAGAATACAAGTGGGGACAGTCGAATGTTTGTGAATACGGAATTGCAGAACGTCTTAGTAAAATCTGAGATGCATACAGTAAATACTTCATTTGCGAAATGTCAATCAATTGTCTCATACTTCATTGTTCCTTCACTTCCATAGTAATCATTCATCATTCACGTTCTCTTTTCTTCGAGTATGAAAAGCGAAGTGATAAAACATTGTGACTTGTATTCTTATTATTATTAGCTTAATTCAGTATTACATATTTGGTACAATACAGAGTTCTCAGCACAAAGTATTTCAACCAGTTTCCGTTTCTTACTTCTAGGTCGATCTTAACGATAAGTATTAAGTAATCGTCAGTTAGAAGTTAGTAGTCCAGTCAATCAACATCTAAAAAATGTACATCCTTTTCGATACATATTGTCAGCAACCACAATATCTGTGATTGGACCTATTGTGACTTGTTCAACGAATGGTTGTACACTTTTCAGAAACGCAGCTAAATAGGTTATGCGATTAATAGCTATAATAATGTATTAAAACAAACAAAATTAGATCGCTTGTTGAAATATCTAGATAACAGGAACAGGTAGCCTAGATTTGTTAAGCAGACCGTCATGTAACTGATAGTCATTTAAAATAACCAATACAAATTGTTTTTATTATGAACTTAAATAATCTGAAGAATCGTTACAAACCAAGAGATACACTATGAAAACATCATTTAACATTTGGTGGAGGTAGAGCGTTAGATTTGTCAAAACTAACTGTGATGTCATCAGAGAAGGGAATCGAATTAATATGGTATATATTTTCGAATTTAGTCAAATTGACCATCAAAAGTTCAACAAACGGATCGTTTAACTCTACATGAAGAATATATCTGAAATCAACAATGAATTACTAAGAATATTAGAAATAGGTATGTAGTGGCCGGTACTATGTTAAACTTACATAGGCTATTCTAACTCCTGAACAAACTAATTTAATCGTTCTCTTCATGCCATATTTTGACCTTATCACTTATTCGCTTATTAACCCTGACTGTTTTTTATATGTTTGTATGTATGCTAATTATTACTCTACTCATTATGTGTCTGTAACTTATTTTTGTTCGACTGTAGATCGATTCACGCTTGGTTAAATCGAGTTAGATTACATGTCTTATACGATCCGTTTCGTTTTGCTCTCTCCACTTCGTTTTCTTCGGTTCGTTTCTCTGATCGTCTGTTTAGATTATTGATTGTATGAAATATACGTATTCAAAAAATTCATTCTCGTATTTGACTTATTTAATTTTGTTATTCATCAACGAGATTTAAGTCGATGATTATATACGACGGTAGCCAGGGTGTATATTTCAATAACAATAATTTGTACGGTGTATTTAGAGTCAGATAAAGGGCTACACTAAAGGTCTAGTCGACCAGTATTGTCTGATCAAATTAAGAATAAGTTACATGAGCTTGCCTCCTCGATATGTATCAACGAATTCGTCTGCTACTGCAGAACTAGTAAGTAAGTAAGTAAGTAAGTAAGTAAGTAAGTAAGTAAGTAAGTAAGTAAGTAAGTAAGTAAGTAAGTAAGTAAGTAAGTAAGTCAGTAAGTAAGTAGTTAAAATTTGTACTGCGTCAATTTGATACTACTGAGATATCTCTCACCTAAAAGTATAATATTTATTGTTTCTAAATAAAATTATGATAAAAATTCATTTATTACTTTTTCAGATGGGCGTAGTTTATTTCCTTTCTAGACAAATGGATAATCTGATATACAAATATCAGGTGTGATACAATAAAAACTATGATAAAAATCTGTCTATTCACGTATAACGGGACTTTAGATTTGATTGACATTCATATATATATATATAACAGGTAACCCTGTTTCACATAAAGTATTCTTTAAATATAAACTGGATAGATGATTGTGGAAGAGGACACACAACTTAAAGAAATCAATTAAAGGTAACAATTGAAGATAGTCTCAAACTAGAAACAAATGAATGTTCATCACTTTCAGGGTTTTTTTTAGAAAAAATAATTATCTAACATAGGTTAACTCGTGAACAATCCCCATGGTCTTATATTGTTAACTAATAATGTTTGGTCATTTTTGTGTGTTTACAGAATGTTAGATTCATTGAAATTTTGTTGTGAATCATTGTTCGATCAACATTAGAAACTTGGAAGTATTAGCAATATGTGTTAGCCGGGAATGCAAATTCAAAGGAACTTAACTATCTCCAAAACCTTGTACTTAGAATGTCTGATTATGTGACTAATAGTAAGCGAAATTGTTATTAAGGTAAATGACGAATAGGTTGATGAAGTATACTAAGAGGAAACATTTTATAGGACAGAATTTGGCTAAGTAAAGATGGATAGTAGCTAACAGTGGAATCCAGGACGCACGTTTTGTCCCAGGTGGGACTCGTCAATCAGACGTACCTGCATCTCAAAGTTGATGTTCACTCCAAGAATCGAACCCAGTATCGTTCGCTCCAGACACCATTACGTTATCCACTTAACTACTGAGTCGTGTAGCCGATTGCTTGTACGATGGGATGAAGTTTAAACTCTTCCCATTGATGATTAGCACTGTAATTGATCAATCTATTCTTGGCATACAAGCATACTGTGCGTATTACCTCAATTTTGCTTTAATTCACAAGCATCATCAGCAAAGATGGATAAGATTCCAAGTTAGAACTTGCCTCGTGATGCAGTATGGTGATTTCCGTAATGTATGTGCAATCCATTTCCAACGTCTTTTTCTAATTTCTTCTTCAGCTGGGAGCTGTTTTGTTCTCTCTCACAGAAGGCTATTGCTGATGGTATTCGGCCAACAGATATTGAGTATCTTGTATAGACAACTATTTATGAATACTTGTACCATTTTGATGATGTTTGCAGTAGTTCTCCAAGTCTCAGCTGCATGTTAACATAATCCTCAAGATAAATAACATTAACATTTAACTCAGAAAGTTTGACAGAATAATTCAGAAACCCATTAACTTCCTTTATTGTTGAAGGGTCCTTGGAATCTTTTTAGTAAACAGAATACATGCATTAAGACATTAAATTAAAAAATTTGGTTCATCAAAGAGTTCTCTTTTCGGTCAATTCACTTTTAAAGCTGTACAATTGCAAATATATATACATATAGACTTATTTTTTCAGGAAGATAATATCCAAACTTTTACTGGAAAATTCTTCAAAGAAACCATATTTATCCAAGCTCCAAATATCTTAAACGACATGCACAAAATGTTATCGATTCTAGTGGTTCACGTATCCCGTTATTGGAATTCAATATTTCACAAAGATCTCTTGTGTACTATATGAATTATCACCTAATCAACATCATCTTTTCATTGAATATGTTACTACAGTTATTGAAAAGCGTACGAAAAAATTAATATCGAATCTCATTAAAATATTTTATAGTTGAATTCACAAGTCAATTGAAGCTAAACCACTATGAAAAATCTGGAAGCACTATTTGACGACCGTTTCGTCCTAGTATGGGACTCCTCAGCAGTGCGCATCCATGATCCCACCTCGAGAGGTACTCAACATCCATTGGCCGGATACCGTCAGCAACAGCCTTCTGTGAGAGAGAACAAACCAGCTTCCAGATGAAGAAGAAATTAGGAAAACACGTTGGAAATGGATAGAACATACATTACGCAAATCGTCAAACTGCATCACGAGGCAAGCCCTAACTTGGAATTCTGAAGGGAAGTCCGAAGAACACACTACATCGGGAAATAGAAGCAGATGTGAAAAGGATGAATCACAACTGGAAAGAACGGGAAAGTATTGCCTAGGCTAGTGTTGGATGGAGAGTGCTGGTGGGCGGCCTATGCTCCTCCACGAGCAGTAACAGGTGTAGGTAAGTAAGTATCTAATTTTTGACAGAGAATACCTTATGGAATCCATCTTTTGTATTTTGGGTTAATACATTCAATATATCGTCAGTATACATTATTTTTAAAACATTCCTTGAGTTTCTTTTATTAGAAGAGACTTTGCTTTTTTTATTAATGACACATTTTGCAGGCAAACAAGCAGTAGTCGACATAAAATCCCTTATTCTTTTGTAATGTACAATACTGTTTACTAATTCAACCATAATCTGTATAATTGTATATGTTATGTTAGAAATTACAGTAAAACAATTGAAGCCTAAAAATGAGTTCTAAATTGAAAAGCCATTAATTGAATGATTTATTTCTTAGCTTAAATCAAAAACTGATCTTAGAGTACTACCATAACCAATAAGCACTAGAAAGCCATTTTGAATCATTATGGAACTACACAGCAATGCGAATCCACATCTTGGGATTTAAGAATCAACCCAAGGACCTTTGATTTCGCATTTGAACACCTAACTCATAGAAAATCTTGAGCCAGCATCACATGGTGTTAATATCTAACTTCAGTTGATTTATAATACATACATCAGTTATTTTAATAGTTGAGATCATGAGTCTATTGAAACTGGACCAACATGAAAAACCTGGAAGCACTGGACGGCCGTTTCGTCCCATTGTAGGACTCCTCAGCAGTGTTCATCCACGATCCCGCCTCGCCAGATTCGAACCCAAGGATTGTTGATCTCGCGCACGAACACTTAACCTCTAAAACACTGAGCTGGTATCTAGCGTTGTTAATGTCTAACTTCAACTAATCCACGAAGTTGCGCCACCATCCACCATTGTGTTCAGTGAGTTGATATCTCACAACAGACCAAGTGGAACTCCACTGGTCACGGCTTCTCACTAGAACTCCAGGAAATGCCTCTTGAAACCAGTCACTAGTGAATATATGTTGATTAATATCAGAGGGGGTTTTGTGGATATTATAGTAACTTTAATAGTTGAGATCATTAGTCAATTATTTCATTTGAATCAAATATGAAAATATAATAAAAAGGAAAGTAAACTATTACATAATCGATCGATCGATATATTCTGGGTAAAATTCATACTATATCAGTAACTTAACATGATTTTTATGTCAGTGATTCCATTCAACTAGTTACTATTCATTAATCGATGTAACATTTAAATGGATATTGAAAAATAAGTTTCTAAGTAAGGCTTCTATTATTAATGGATACTTTCAACAAAACAAAAAAAACAACATTGAACCATTTTCGAACTGATTGATTATTCAGTATCTATTAGTGTTAATGTTCGATGGGCATTTCTGCTTTGTCAATGGTGACTGGATTCTATTGATTAAGGTCTAGTGTGGACACTATCCTACTTGATATTAAACCATGTATCCTATACTTGTAGGGGGGTATTAACAAGTAACCCTACCTGATATATGTTTAAAGTTAGTTCTTGTTAGTGAGTACGATTTATCTAAAATCACGATGAACTCATTACTTTATCTAGAATTTAAACTTATATATCATATTAGTGACACCATTGATTGTGAGACTAGATGAAAGTAGTTCAAATTTCAGATTATCAGTTCCTTTATGATTAGTGATTTAACTTGCTCAAGAGTGGCAATCAATACGAAATCTAGATCAAACTAAGCTTCAGTTTAATCATTGATCATCAACTTTCTTATTATATTACAGCTGTAATTGTTAAGTGAGTCTTTCCGGATAAAGTTGTTCCAAAAATGTTCGTCTGCATAAGTTGTTTGAATTTTTCTATTGATATTAAGGACTGAAATTGATCAGTATCTTTTTGGTATATTTGCAAACTACTTTGATATTTTCATTAGGTCATATGCACAATCCTGTGACTGAACATCAACTCTGAAAAACAAGTGAATCCAGCTGACGAGTTTCAAGTAGAACGAAACTCACCTCTTGAATTTCACTGTTAGTCACTATCTATATCTGTTTATGAAAGCTTCAGGATTTCAGGTTTCTGAATATTCAATGATAACTATTACTCATAAAATGTATTCGGGAAGTTTTTTTTCAATAATTTTGTAAAGTTCAGTTTATTTTACCAACCATGTGTATATTGATTTGATACACTCTAAGACGGGAGGTAAAACCCGACACATGCGTCCTCGTCGTGCCTCTTGGATAGTGAGACTTGTCCCATGAACTACCGTAAGCGGTAAACTGGTTGGTAGAGATTGGACTAATCAACCACTCGACCGATACCCATAAACGATTACAAGTGCTACAAGGAAAAATAGCATAGCTTTAACTGCAAAAACAGCTATCCCGCCCCGGTAGTTGTGCCGTACTTTGATGTAGCTACTTCTCCAGAAGGGCCTACTAAGCTCCACCAAATTCATTTTGGCTGGAAGACAAGGGGCACATACGAAGATACATAAAAAAAGTATCTTTTAAATTTTTGTCTGGTTGGTAATGTAGTGGATATTGCAAATAACTTTCACATTGAAAGTAACAACCGCCTAGGGCTTCTACATTTTAGTTGATTTTCAGCTGAAGAGTTAAAAATCGTCGTGCTATATTAAGAATGATTTCTTTGCAGAAACAATGAAAAATGGCGAAATCTTAGGATTCCTTCATGTCACTAGTGATCAATACAAAATTCAGAGTAATTCAGAGTAGTTATGTAATTCATGTCCTTCTTTTAAATTAATATGTAGATCATGTTTGTTATCCAAACATATTTGAAATATACGGTAGTAATTTTTGTGATGGTGGAGATGATGTCGTTCAGAAGAACGATGAACTCTCCACGACCAAACCACCCAGCTCAGAGAACAAAGCTCCAGCAATAGTAATTTTTATGTTCTTTAAAGTTCATGATTGACTTAATTGATTGTAAATTCAGAGTATTGTTGTAACGGAAACTCATTGATGTGTTTCAATAAAAGCACGAACCAATCAATGACAGAAAAACCATTGAAAACATGAAAGGAGTGAATGGTAGTTTCGTGTTAGTATGGGACTTCAAGACAGTAAGTACCCACAAACCTGCATGCAGGAGTCAAACCTAGGACTTATAGTCTCTTACCTCTAGACTAATGGTCCAACATCCAGTCGTGTTATTGCCTAACTTCAATCAATACACAATATTGCACGACCGTCTACCATTGTCTTCAGTAAGTAACTGCCTCACAACCAACACAGTTGAATTTCCTTGGTCACGGCTTCTCACTACCAAAAATCAAATTCCCAATGAAACTCAACAATGTCCAGTCAGTCAGTCAGTCAGTAACAACGTAGAACTTCGTACGTACGTACATCAGTTCGAGTTGCCACACCACCTTAGCACAGAGATGCAGTTGTCGATTCAAATCCCGGAGTAGTAGAGGTAGCAAGAGTATAAGCAGTAATCGGGAAGATTAGGGTTTGGAGATGTTATTTAAAGAGTATAATACAGTGAAATAAATTTGGAAAGAGGAAAAAAGGGACATGAAGAATTCAGAAGATTAGAGTTTGGGAGAACACAGAGAGTGGATGCACCTGCGCCATTGCAAACGATTTTGAGCCATGTCATTCAGGGTCTCTAACCATCGGTTGCTATCATCTCGTGGTCCCCAACCAGGTAGTCTACACCTACCAACATGACTCAGTCCACTTGTCAGTGACTTCATGGACTTGTGCCATGTTTTGGTTTGGCCGCCCCTAGCTTTCTTCCAACCTACTCCTATACCACTGAACATAGCACGTCGAGGCAGTCGGTCGTTGGGCATACGTAACATGTGTCCCAGCCATCTCAATTGATGAAGTTTCACTACTTCATCAATTGATTTGCCATCCTTACCTAGTACCCGTTTCCTAACAACTGTGCTACTTACTCGATGGTCCCATGATATACGAGCAACATTTCGAAGACACCTCCACACCATAAGATCCATCTAGGTGTCTTTCCCTATCGCTTAGTTTACTTACTTGAGCATTAAAGTCACCGGCCACTATTACTACATCCGAGCGCTTAGCTTTTCCGAGAAGGTCCGAAAGCTTTCTGTAAAACTCATCTTTTACATCATCTGAGCTGCAGTCAGTGGACAACAATGTCCACAACCCCATATTTAAAATGACTGATGTACGTTTGAGTTCTTTGTGAACGTGTAACCTAATTTGTAAGGAATTTCCCTCAGCTCCCAAAATATTTTTATACAGACTCATCGAAATGTGACTGAAATGATATCTACGGACAATGCTGTGAAATGTATGCGTATGAAATCCTAACTTTATTAGGGCTTTTTTCGATACAATGGGTTTCTATTATATAATGCATTAAATAAAAAACAGAATTTAGCTGTGATGAAATGTGGGCAGTTCGTATAGTTTTGTTTTCATTTTATATAGCCTTTAATATATAGTAGAACAGTAAACGTATTCCTTTATAATCACTTTCGAATTTCATATCAAACTTAAAAGTTTTCTATGCAAGATACTCAATATCCATTGAACGGATACCATCAGCAACAGCCTACCATGAGAGATAAAAAAACAAACTTCTAGCTAAAGAGAAAATTAGTAAGAGACGTTGGAAGTGGATAGGACATACATTGCCTGAGTTATCAAACTGATCATGAGACAAGCGTTCATGTGGAATCTTGAAATGAAACGGAAAAGAGGAAGGTCAAAGAACACACTACATCGGGAATTAAAAGTAGACATGAAAAAGATGAATAGTAACTGGAAAGAACTGGAAAGGATTGCCCAGTATAGATTGGGGGTTAAAATGCTGATGAGCGGCCTATGTCACTCCACGAAGAATAACAGGCGTATGTAAGTAAGTAATGTGATACTTAATAAAGTTCCACCTTGTTTTAAACACTGTTTCAGTTACTATATCATTTATAGTTATCATATGCTGTACCGATTAATATATCGCTATATACTAAAAGAGAAGAACATTCAATCAGTACATTATTATTATTATTTATTAATATCTATTTGTTAATGGGATCAATGGAACTACTTGTCAGTAAGCTTGTACAATTCATAAGTTCTAATGAATTATCACTGTGTTCATTATAACTATCCCATAGCTTATATGTATATCAATTATGAGATACCGAATATAATTAGCTTAAATAATTAATGATTATATTGTACAATGTGATTATATATATATTTCACATAACTTACTATAGTACTAGAATATACTATAGAAT